AATAATAATAATAATAATAATAAAAATAGCCTGGCGGTTGGTTGCGCACACCTTTAATCCCAGGACTCAGGAGGCAGAACCAGGCAGATCTCTGAGTTCGAGGCTAGCCTGGGCTACAGAGTGCATTTCAGGACAGCAAGGACTAAACAGAGAAATCCTGTCTTGAAAAACAAAAACAAACAAAAAAAACCCAAAAATGTTTAAATAAATAAAATAATAAAAATAGCAGCTTAATGGGATGGATTACTGGGTAAAAGTACTTCCTATGAATCTTGTCGACCTGAGTTCAAACCTCAGGACCCACATGGTGGAGAGAGAGAAATGACTGACTACCCAGTTTTTCTCTGACCTCCACAGGAGGACCATGGCAATTCTGCCTTTACACAAAAGCAAATAATTTTTTGTTTGTTTGTTTTGTTTTATTTTGTTTTTCAAGACAGGGTTTTTCTGTATAGTTTTGGTGCCTGTCCTGGAACTCACTCTGTAGACCAGGCTGGCCTTGAACGCACAGAGATCCGCCTGGCTCTGCCTCCTGAGTGCTGGGATTAAAGGTGTGTGTCACCACCGCCCAGCCAAAAGCAAATAATTTAAAAATTTTTAAAAATAATACAAATCTTTTTTTTCAATTTGCCATTCGTTAATAAGCTGGGCACACCACCCAGGTGTTGGTGGCACACGCCTCTAATTCAAGCACTTGGAAGGCAGAGACAGGTGGATCTCTGCATTCAAGGCTAGCCTGGTCTACAGAGTGAATTCCAAGACAGCCAGAACTACACGATTGGTTGTCTCAAATAATCCAAAACAATCCAAAAGAGCTGGGTGTAAAGGTGCATGCTTGTAGTCCCAGCTGATGGGAGAATTCCCACGGAGCTAACCTGGCTTGGCTCCCGAGTGTCAGCACTTAGCTTTAATCTGCCCTTTGTGATTGCTACCTCCTGTACCTTCTGTTTGAAGTCTTATCTGAGAGTTTCCTAGGGGATCAAAGCCTTTGCAAACTTGTTTAAGAACAACTCAGAACACTGGTATTCTTTACTGAGAATTTGCGTTTGGCATTGTCCCTTTTGGGGGGCTTAGATAAGAAGCTTTGATTACAACTGAATTGCTAAAGGTGTGAATTGTATAACAATAAAAGAGTCATTTGCTAAACTAGAGTGGATCAGTTCTTAGTCCCCCCACCCCAGCTGAGAATGGCTAAAAAAATCATCCTCCAGTTGCCTCAGTCTCTTGATTCCATGGACCCGTGTAAACCTACACCCATACCCAATATCCGACACCCAGCACTAGAGAGGCAGAGGCAGGAATATCTTAATTCTAGGCCAGCCTAGGCTACATAGCCATATCGTATCCCCAGAAACCTCGGGCTAGGGATGCAGCTCAGTGGCAGAACACTTGCCTATTATGCATAGGCCCCAGGGTTCATTCCTAGCACCACACACAATTTTTTTAATTGAAATAATTAAGAACATAAAAAGAGACTTTTGTTTGTTTTGAGACAGGGTTTGATAAAAATTAATTTTGATGAAACCATATACTGTTTCAAGTATACTGGGTTAAATTATTATTTCAACATTTAGTCAATATAAAAAATATCAATGAAACATTGTACTTTTCTTCACAGTGTCTTTGAAATCTATACCCTATTTTATTCTTACAACACATCTAAATTTAGACCGGCTACATTTAAGAGCTACCACATGTGGTTTGTGGCCAGTGTAGTGGATAGCACTGATCTGGAACATCTGTTCATTTACTCATTCAACCAAGCAAGGTATTATAGCCCTGGAAATACACAAAATGGAGTGAGGCCAGTCTCTGTTCTCAATGTACACACAGTCCAGCCGGGAAACTGAAAATGACAATGTACTTTGAGGAAACTAGGTGTGGTGGTGCATATAATCCCAGAACTCAGGAGGCTGACGCAGGATTGCCATGAGTTTGAAAACTGTCTGTGCCACATAGCAAAACCCTGTCTTAAAAAAAACAGAGATGCGCCGGGCGGTGGTGGCGCACGCCTTTAATCCCAGCACTCGGGAGGCAGAGCCAGGCGGATCTCTGTGAGTTCGAGGCCAGCCTGGACTACCAAGTGAGTCCCAGGAAAGGCGCAAAGCTACACAGAGAAACCCTGTCTCGAAAAACCAAAAAAAAAAAAAAAAAAACCAGAGATGCTGGGCAGTTGTGATGCATGCTTCCCAGCACCCGGGAGGCAGAGGCGGGCAGATCTTTGTGGGTTCAAGGTAACATGGTCTACAAAGTGATTTCCAGGACATTCAGAGCTACACAGAGAAACTCTCAGAAAACACACACACACACACACACACACACACACACACACACACACACACACACGGAATAAATAAGACTTTTGAAGTGCCTATGTTCCTTAAGGCAAATGTTCCTTAAAAGATTAGTCACAGTGGGCATGGTGGTCATTATATGCATATACATTCCAGGCCAGCTAGCATTACATAGTGAGACCCTGCCTCAAACAAACAAAAAGATTAATCATA